CAAACTATTTTAGAATTAATACATACATTAACCTATATGTCAAAACTTTCTGGCAAAACATTACCTTTTATCTTCTGCACTGACAGTTTTTAACCCTTATATTATGTTAAGGGTCAATTTGACCCATTTCAGTTTTTGTGTTGATCAAAGTACTGGTTATCCTTTTTTTTTCTTCATGAAATTTGGTGACTTTTCCTCATCTGGGGTCATGAACATGTATGTAAAATCTGGCTACTCTGATATGTAGTGAAGTGTCTGTGCAGAGTATGTATACAAATATGATGTTATGGGTCATTTTGACCCGGACACTTTAATGTGGGTAAGTAGCCATTCAGGCAAATAAAAATGGCTCTTTGATGTACTTTACTCTTTTCTTTTGCCTCTGAGACCCAGACCCAGGTGTGGTAAGGGAGGGAACTTTCTTACACTAGTTCTTGTCACTGCTCTCACGTCATCTACATGTATATGAAAAAACTCATCAAAAACTTAGCTCCTGAAGGATTACAGCTCAGTAGTCTTTTTCACAAATTTTGAACTTGGATAGTGATGTAGAGCAAGAGGTTTCTAAGGCAGAGGATATTTCAGAATCAGAAGACAAAGTTATTGTTGACCCACATGATAAATTCTCCTACTATGAGAAGGACTCAGAGGAAGAGTCTTCTATTATCCCCCGAACAGATGAAAGCCCAGGAATGAGGCAATCATCTTCTGCACGAGTGACAACATCACAACACCAGAGTTGATGCAGACTATCATCAGGTAATTTGATAAAAACTCCTGGTCCTACCAGATTTGCAATCACATGAATTGAAGAGATTCAGTCAGCATTGCTCAGAATGCCAATATCATAATATGGGCAACCTGAGGTGCAAAATCCAGCTATGCATGGAATATGCAAGTATACTTAGAAGAAAGCTTAGAAGAATCAGGGAATGTGTTTGATGCTGGAGATGAATGAAGGGCTGCAAGTCATAACATCACTTGTGACAACCTCTATGTCCTACCTGTTTGGAGAAGAACTTCAGAAAAGAAAGCTGACCATGTTGGGAACAGAAGGTTCTTATCATGAATATAATGCAAGCTGATATATCTCTGAGAACAAGAAAGGACTTGAAGGCAAAAATGATCCTGGATTATTACTCAACCAGAGGAGTAGTTGACAATCTGGACAAAGTCACAGCAATATACAGCTGCCAGGGCAAGACTGCCCGCTACCCAACCAACATAAAGTGGAGACGGGTGAAGAGAAGAGGAAAAGATCACAGCTCTGTCCCTCCCGAGAGGACAGTAAAACAAGTACATCTTGTGTGAAATGTATGAATTCCATCTGCAGAAAGCAGTTACATTCTTCCCATCATGTGGAGAACTTTAAAGTCGTTGAATGTTCAAAATATTAGTAACTAGCGAATTTTAAAGCTAAATTTCAAAAAACAAAATTTGTGAAGAGGGAACATTTTAAACCTAAATAAAGTGTGTGAATTAAAACTGTATGGTTTGTCACTTGACTAAATGTTTAAGTAATCTAAAATAAATTGGTTATTGGTTTAACCTGTTTTNTATGAATTCCATCTGCAGAAAGCAGTTACATTCTTCCCATCATGTGGAGAATTTTAAAATTGTTGAATGTTCAAAATATTAGTAACTAGCGAATTTTAAAGGTAAATTTTAAAAAACAAAATTTGTGAAGAGGGAACATTTTAAACCTAAATAAAGTGTGTGAATTAAAACTGTATGGTTTGTCACTTGACTAAATGTTTAAGTAATCTAAAATAATTTGGTTATTGGTTTAACCTGTTTTCTTGACTATTTTGCAGGTATTTACACAGTGCGGGTCAAAATTACCCGCAACATAATGAATGTAATTTTTTTCAACATAATATAAGGGTTAAATCCCTCTTGAATTTCTACTGCCTCAAAGTGAAAGAGATAAACCTCCTAATACCAAGAGGATTGGGAGATTTTTCTAAGAACTTTTCAAAATAATACAAATAAGGTTCCATGGTTGGGAGTGGGAAGGTGTATTAACAGAAGGAAATGGTAACAAATGGACATCAGATATACATACAAAGACAGGCAGAAAATGATGCTTACATGTAAAACAAGAGGGGTCTTTATGACCTGGTTATGAGTTATTACAAACCAAGAAGCTTTAGTCCAACTTAGACTCATAAATACTAAAAAGAAAAGAAAAATCAGATGATGGAAGAAGCTGTGTTTAACACAAGCACATTTAAACATTACATTTTAAGGTTCAGAAAAGTCACAAAAGGCGCTCCAATCTGTCAAGCCAACGTCCAGCAGGCAGCGTTCCTGTTGAGCCCCTTTTCTCAGCTTCTTGGTGGCCCTGCAAAAGCTTCTTTAGCACACTCTGGGCTTTTTATCACTGGCAGATACAAGAAATTACACAATGGAGCTGCAGAACAGGCTCTCAGAAACATGCATGCTATGTACAAAATCTGCCTGTGAAGGCCTCATCAGCTCGTTTTTTCTTGGTAATTTCTTAATCAAACCCAAATGGAAAATCTTTTGAAGTATTCTACAAAGTCCAACACACTGACATTTTCCATGGTTCATTTAACAGAAAGGTTTCATTTCTGTTTTGATTCTTGTTGTCTCATGTCTTGACGTTTTTTCACACATCTTATCATATTCTCCAGATTTATGCAAAATGTGAGTCTGAACAAACTAAACCAGACCCTGGAAATAGAATTGAACACGTTTTTGCTTTCCTCACTTTGTCCTCACATGGCACGAAATTAGCAGCAGCCTGAAATGTTACAGCGCCAAACACTGAGGTAAACACAATAGGAACCTCTTTTTGTAGTGGTTGGTGCAGCTGCAGCACACAGCACCGATATTCTGGGAAAGTTAATCATCAAAGGAGATTTTTGCACTTTTTCCTCTGCCTTGCATCTGTGTGGTAACAGTCAACATGTTATGGTGGAACCACACTTTCTAAAGCTGAACTAACAAAGGTTTCTCTTATGGTGAAGGGTTTGTGAATCTACTGTGGTACACGGTAGTATAAATCTGTTTTTTCTCTAAATTATTTGTTGTATTTTTGTCTTGCTATTCCCAATCTAGGAAAGCATCTTTTATTTATTTTTTTTTTTTTAGTAGGTTATGATATTAACTTTTTTTATTGATTGGTAACTAAGTTTTGTATACCTTAGCAATCAATCACTGATAGGTTTAGAACACAATGCTTGCTTCTGTATCCATAATTGGCAATTGTACTGTAGGTCAAAGAAAAATACGGGGCCATGTTAGGTTAAACTGTAATTCATTCTTTGATGTAAACTAGCTCTAATACTCTATAGGTCTGTCACATTTTTAATCTTTTTACCTAAACAATTGCTTTAGAACATGATTATTTAGGTAAAACATTTTTTAAACTCCTGTAGTTGCAGTTAAGGAGAACAATTGACTCTTGAATCCTACTGATGAATTTAGCATATTTTCTATATGTTCATCCTTGGGTCTGTGCATTGAAATCAATGTAACCACTGATAGATTAAATTATTATAACCATAGTATTAATTCTTTCTAAGCAGCTGTTAGAATACTTGTCTTTGCTGTTGTAGTTTGATAATGTAACTACTGATAAATATTCAGTGAAACTGCTGTGCTTTTAATTGCCCCTCTACTGATTAATCTTTGTAGCACTTGTTACTGTTTTACATATTGGTAACTAATGAACAAGATCTATGTTCATTATGCACAGTCTGCATGTTTGTCTTGCTTTGACTTTAGAATTATCACTGATTCTCCAACATCAGATTCATCAGAAGGATAGATCCTTAAATTTGAGCAAAGACCTTTCTATGATTAGGAAAAACCTCCATTAAACCAAACCTCTTCACACGCTCCGGTGCTCGTTGCTCTTATAAAAGCTGACTGAGACAATTTGAAACCCATTTTACCTTGAAATTAGTGCATGTGGAGTTGGGAATCAAAGGGGAAATGCAAAGCTAAAAGGTTTCCCCTCAAGTTCAAGATCATTTAAGCGGGGTTATGTTTTAAAATGTTGAATTTCTGATTGTGGACAAATTTTCCCTCCACATACATATCATCCTCCTTAGTGTTCTTGTCACAACACAGATTGATCAGGCTGTGCTGCTCGTCCTTCATTCAACATGCTATGCAGCCTATGCTACTCTACTTTTGTATTTTTATTCACAAAGTCATTTATCCAAGCGAAACCGTCCTCTGCTGTCCAAGCCATCCTGTACAAAGTTCGGGTGATTATGTGGCATTGGACTTGACTGATATAATGAGAGGATGCTTTTTTATTTTCGATAAGTGCATGCGCATGACGTAGTCTCTGTATGTACAGTATGTGTGGGTCCTAAAGCATAAGTTAAGTGTGTGCATGTGTAGGTTACACAAAGTGTGTGTGTTTCAGTCAATGAAGATCTGCGTTCAAGCGCTCCTTGGAGCCCTCTGTTGAGGCTTGCTCCTGCTCTTCCTCCCTACAGCGCGACCTCCCCCTCCTCCTCTTCCTCCCCCATGCTTGTGCTTTTCAGCCCTTTCCTTCTCCTTGTGGGCGGCAATCATAAAGCCCCCACGATGACGCTGGCTGCGTGGTGGACGGTATCCCAGGGCCTTGCAGTGCTCGCCCAGGTTTCCAGGGTGAATCAGGGCCATCACATCCTCGTACCAAGGCTGGGTTCCTGCGCCCTGATAGGACGAACCAGACAACGAGGCGAGGACGCGATTGGCAGAGGGGCTCCAGACAGCAAGACGGACGGTGACTGCGGTCCAGTGATAACCGTGCTCCTCCACCTGACAGTGGTAGACGCCACCGTGGGAGAGCTCAGCTCGCCGGATCAGGACCCCCCGCTCTATCACCACCAGCTGGTCACCTGTCAAAACCTGGACAGATGTGAATCCATTAACACTATTCTAGTCGATTGCAGGTTAACTTAATATAATTTATCTTTTGTCTTAATTTTTATTCAAACTAAACCTTTCAGTTATTTTATATTAGTTCAGTTAATCTTAACCAACTGTGTTTTTCTTTTAATCTATTTAATTATCAGATCTATTCAAACCAAACTACTTTATATTGATTACATCACCAAAAATGATATGATATTAAAAATAAGATGACAAAAGGGGATAGATTTGGCCGTGTAAGAGTAAAAAGTGTCGGTTTTACCTGGTTTAATTCGGCACTATTCTCTCCTGCTTGTTTATACCAGGTAACGGCAGCGTGTCTGGATCGAGGCAGACACTCCAGGTAGGTGCTGTTTCCCTCTGCCACCATCATGACCCTCTGCTCTGCCTCCACCTGCAGCACAGCTGCGACAAAGCAAGGGCGCACTTTAAGCATTTGTTCTTTTATTGGGATTTTAATTTTCTCTCCTGAAATGTATTACTAACAACGGATATTCCAAAACAAGAAAATTAAAAACAATCCACTGGACTTTGTTTCCAATTTTGAAGATGCTTCGCTTCCCACCCAAGAAGCTTTTTTAATTCAAAATGTCAGGAATAGCGTTGACTTTGAAGTTTTATACAGTAGCCCAAGAAAGCTTTGTTTTTGTTTTGAAAAAATGCAAATTGAAACAGATGAAACTGCATGTCCAGTGGATTGTTTTTAATTTTCCTTTTTGAATGACTATGTAGTGGATGACTAAGAATCTTCACCAGCGAACAAAGGATATATTGATGTTTTGGTAAAAAAGTGTAAAAAACTTCAGATAAATTATTTATGGCATTGGCATAATTTCATAATGAAGATCTAAGCAAAAACAAACTTTTGAGTGAAGGGAATTCAACTTAAGTTCCACAGAAATAACAATTTTACCCAGTTTACTGAGTCGACTCCAAGCAAAGTAGATTATGCTTTTAAATATGAAAGGTATTTAATCAGTAATCTACAACTTTTTGTGTGGTACAAATATGAGATAGAAACCTAAATCTTTATTGTAAGAATATTCCACCGCATTAAAGATGTTTTTTAAAGCTAAATGTCTTTAGAAAGAACTATATTTTTACAGCTTTTTATTGTCATTACTCTGTCACAAGTACAGAGCAAGGAAATGAACTATCTGCATCTAACCCATCCCCTTGGGAAGCAAAGGGCTGCCACTGTGCAGCGCCCAGGGAGCAGTGTGGGGTTAAGGGTCTTTGCTCAGAGACCCAGAATGGCAGTCTGTGGCAGTGAGGCTTGAACTCAGAACCTCTGGATTCCAAGCACAATGCTCTAACCCCTTCAGTAAATGTGTCCAGAATTGAAACTCATGCAGGAAAAATAAAAACACCCATAAAACACATCCTGATGGATGCATGTAATGCTATGTAATGACCAAACAGGTCATTTTAGTTACATGCATCAATGAATGAGAAATATAACACTTTCCTGAGCCTGTTAATACATATTTTGTACACAGGCTAAAAAAGGAGTTCTGCATAATATCTGAATGGGTAGACATTTAAACTTGGATTTGCTCCTCACCCCCCTGTCGGACACACTGAGTCAGAGGGTCCTCCTCTTCCCCTAAATGACGAGCATTTCTCCTGCAGACAAAAACATGTAACAATTAGATATTGTTTGCTCCAAAAAACAAATAAATTAAAGCAATGATACTGCTTTCCTAATCAAGGTTGGTATGTAAACTTTGTCCTGATGGTGGCACTAGAGAGAGGGTCATACAGTGTTTGAATCTGAGAAAATCAATCAATGCTCATAAAAATCTCAGGTTTGATTAGACTGTCACCATATACATTAAAAGCCTGGAAAACATTTTGTAAAAGGGGCCCTAATGTTTGTCATGTGGAAAAAATGCTTAAAATGTTAGAGCGATCAGTTTCAATGTGAGTAACTTTAAAACTATCAACAGATGGGTTTCTAATTTAATTCAAAATGACTGATTATAGATTGCATACCACGCATTCAACTCAGAAAAGATATTTGATACACGTTAATCAGGTTAGGGTTGTTTGGATTTTAAAAACAGTGCTTTTTCTTTCCTACCGGCGCACGGTGGGCATATATGGGCTGCAGGCATGTCCATCCCAGGTGCAGTAAGGATCCCTTGCCAGGCAGCATTCAGCACAAGCCTGACCATACAGCTCACACTGGTACAGGGCCAGCTGGGACACACCCTCCCTTGAGCCCACAAACAACCACTGTGGGGGATGAGTTGGAAGAAAAGAGAATGGAGGGTTGTGAAAGAAAAGGAAGCAAGGGACAAACAATAAAGAAGCATTAAATTCATTTCAAATGCTGTAGAATAAAATGACATTCATCTCATTTAATGATGAGCAACACACTGAACTCTCACTGCTCGTGTTTACAGGAAGAACATGTTAAATCTTCTTTTTATGATCTAGATGTCCATATCTGTTTTTAAGAAAGCTGCTATGGGGTTGTTTTTTTTCAAGGATCCCAGACTATTTTAATAATGCAAGGTGAAAATATGTCTGTTTGTGTGTGTGTGTGTGTGCAAGTATGTGTGGTATCACTTCATTATGGCACTGACTGAGGTGAGGTAACCATAGCAACTGGTGATGAAGATGTCCTTGGAGACGCAAGGTGGAGAGATGAGTGATAAGTGCGATTCTGTGCATAGAGGTGTGTGTGTGTGAGAGAGAGAGAAAGCAAGAGTCAAGAAGTTTGGAAGTTTGGCAGTGAGTTTGCGTCTTGTTTGTGTCATTACCTTTTTCTTTGACAATGCCATCGCCGTCACGGATGATTTATGCTGTGAAGAGGGAGGAAAGAAAATGAGAGACGTGCTTGTTTTTTAAAGAAAGATAGATAGACAGATAATCAGAAGCAAATTCTCACTTATATTGATTCCTTCTACTTTTTGAGGTATTCTACCATGTTTCACATCTCCTTAAAAAAACAACACCCTTTCAATGGGCACTGGTTTACTGATGTTCAAACTTAACTGAAATTCAGATTAATATCAAATCTTGATCCTCTATTAATCCTAATATTAAATAGCAATCAGTATAAATCATTGTCATTACTATATCAGTGAATCCAAATCAAAATGGCAACAAAGTATAATACTAATCTCATAGGTATACCAGATACTATGTGCTAAGGTTAGCAGAAGTAGTATTAATGTGTTCTTTTTTCTTTTAAAAAAAAATCAGTTGCTTCATATTAAACATTCTTAGGTTTGTGTTTATGTGTGTTTGTTTTTAAGCTGATTTTTATAATATTATCAGATTTTCCTACTGGCCCGTGCCCAGTAGTTGTATTTTGTTTCCATGGGACTTATTAACTGCTTTCCCTTTCACCTGCTGATTATGTTGATAATCCCTTCCTGCCGACCGTAAATTTGATAAAGATGTTTATGGCATTCTATATCTAAAGCATGTGGTATATTGCTATATAAGGCTGGGCAATAACAGAAGGGCTTTTGTAGCCATTACTCTAAAGAAAGCATAGCTGCAACTTGGATCTGGCAGAAATCCTGCATACTTAGCCTTTAAAGTCACAATTTCCATGGTGAGCAATGCAAGATGTGGATTTTAGGTCAGCAGTTTCTATTGTTCTTTTCACTTGCTCATGAAATATATAAATCACATCATTTTGCTTATATTTTGATATGAAAACTTATTAAAAAAGTGTATAAAATATTTAGAATTATGCTAAAATATGCAAGTTTTTTATGTCTGAAAAAGCTCATTGTACCTGAAAAACCTGTAACTGCTCCAGAGTGACCTCCTGACTGTGACCGTGCTCTCTGGGCAGATGGATGGCTTTTAGTACGAGTCCAGAATCTGAGATATTAAATAAAACATTTAATCATATCTAACATGGAAAGGACAATAGGTTTTGAAATGCACCTCTTCCCCTTCGATTTCTACCTGTGCCGATGAACAGGACATCATACGTGCCGTCCACAGCTTCCACCCGGTCCACCAAAAGTTTGCTGAACTTGTAGTGAACACCCACTCTCACTAAAAGTGGCCGCTCACCCAGAGGCAGCACGTGTTCCTAAGACAAAGTTAATTACATTTTAAAAAACTGATCACATAAATTTGAAGCTTTAGGGATTTTTCAGCCAAACTTGTAAATCATTCCTAATATGATAGAAAATGTATGTCATCAGTGATGAGGTGGGGAAAGCTGCTCTAATTCAATTCCTTAATTTTATTTAAGACTGTAGATTAAGATAGAGAGAGAAAAAATTACTTAACTGTGTAAATCGGGGCAGAGTCTAATTACATGAAATGGGTGTAATTTAATAATGGGATAAAGAGGTTGAACCTGCAACAGAGGATGAGTCCTGCTGAAGAAAATCACGTCGTCAGGATACTCTCTGGTCGAGCTGTAGCTTCCATAGGTGCTGCTGGGACACTGAGTAAGGCACAGAAAAAAATACATGAATGTTTACAACTGAAACTGATTTGTAGAGGTTTTTATCTAAAACTTTTTACAAGTAATATTTCCTACAGTAATATTAGGGTAAAATTGTCCTGGATGTTTATCTTAATCCATTTAAAATAAAACAGTGCAATAAAGAGTCAGTAGTGAGAGGAAACTTACAGTTCCTGGCCGTGGATAAGGCACCTTTCCTGTAAACTCAGCCCATTTGTACTGAGGCCCCTCTTTATGCAGAAAGTTGCCCTTAAAAGCTCGAACCACATCCTCCATCCGATAAACACAGACTGCAGAACCATTCAGGATATCACTGAGAACAAAGCAGGAGGTTACTGTCAACAATATTTCCACCTGTTATTCTTCCTTTGACAGCTTGAATAACAGCATCCCTTAAGCCACTGCAGTCGGAAAGTGATGCAAAACAGTTCTGCTCCAGTTTACATCCATCGGATGTATTTGGGACTTTTATAGATTAATTTGAGCTGTTCTTTTACTCGGGGTGGAGTGATGAACAGAAAACTTGAAGCAATTTTCACAGCATGACATAGAAACTTCAATTTAAAGTTAAACCTATACATAAATCAATTGGTTGGCTATTGCATCAATATTCTTAACATTGGTGATACTGCACTTTTAAATTGGGTTGGATTCTGAAAGTTTCCAGTATAGAGAAGTTTATACTTTCCAGAAGCTAAACATTACCCTGATATGGTCATCCTACAACAAATTCCAGTATGTTTAAGATCACTGTCCTGTTGTTTGATGTATGCAAGTCTAAGTAAATCAGGGGCAGAGTTTACCTTGGAGTTTTCAATAAAAATGTGTGATAATTTATGTGGGAAGAGTGTTAATACTTCAAAAGTGAAAAGTGAGGTAAATATTTCGACCTTTGGATTAGCACAGTAGTAAAGTGGAAGTTGAAGAATTTGGAGCTGTTTGATTCGTCATTAATCCATCTGTGTCATAGCAGTCTTCCAAGTATGTTACTTTTCACTGACAGCCAACAATTAATTTGAGTCCTTCTCACAATAAAACATTTCTCAGGTTGGCAGCTGCAAATTGTGCTTGAGTTTTAATTATTTATTTTGGTATACTTTTATGATCAGCCTTATCTGAGCCTGTTGATGTGAAAAACATGCTTGAGTGAGAACCACCTCTAGTTTTTCAGTATTTTTTTTTTTTTTTTCAGTTCATGGCAGGCCTGGGCAATTGTTGATTCTTGGATTGTTCTCTTTTCATCTGGGGATGACAGTGTGGCTAAGATTGTTGGAACTGGGACACAACAGGGTGTTCCAACAGGACAATGACCCTTTAGGCCATATCAAAACTGGCTTTGGAATGGATAATGCAGGCTGGCATTAAGCCTTTGGAAAGCCATGACCTCAATTACACTGAAAATGCGTGAAAATACTTAAAAGCTGGGTTTGTGCCAGGAAATCGACCAAGAGACATGAGCTCCACCGATTTTGTCAAGAGGAATGGCCAAATATTGTGCCAGAAGTATGTCAGCAGCTTCTTGATGGCCATAAAAAGCTTTTAATGAAGCAACTTTCTACATTTAAAAGTCAATCGCATAATTTTGAACCTGTCAGGATTAGAGAAAACATTTACACCAAATTCCTGGTTTTTAAATTCATTGTAATTATGTGTTTTATGTTAATTTCCCATTAAAAAAACATACTAACAAATTATAAAGATACAAAAATCAACATGAGATGCATAAATGAGTTGGAATACATCTCTGACTTGCATTGGATATGAAAAGTAGAGAACATTTTTCATTGCAACTTTTACTGACCTCTCTAACCAAGCAGTCATAATATTTAAAAGTGCTGCTTTGTAAAGTTGGTTCCCACCACGAAATACCAACTGCTGGAGCTACCATGTTCAGTTCTGGAAAATGCTTTCTACAAAGTCTAATTAAAGTAAGAGAAATCTACTAAAGTAGAAACAAGACAGACAGGGAAGCCACATTGTGATGACTCAGAATGGTTTCCCTCAGTTCATTTGGGTGACACATATGCAGTACGTATGCTCTGACGCTTCTGTGGAGGAATCTTTTTTCTTTTCATTCCTCACCACTATTCCTCACCACTGCAACCAGTTGTTCCAACTCTGACACAGATGGATAAACAAAATAAAAGCTGCTATTCAAAGAAAGTGCATTCAAAATAAATTCCCTATTTAGATGCATACAGTTAGAGAGCCACATTTAATTCCCTTTAGAAGATAATTGTTTAAAGAGACTATTTTTAATACTATTACAAGACATTTTTAAAAAGATTTTGTTAAATAAAGTTAGATGTTTATGTAAATTTGAAATGACAGATTCCTAGTTTTCACCCTCAGCTTCATTCTGATGTCAGAAAATGTGAGCAATGAAGAATTTGCCTCATGGGACAAGTTTCCATTCAGGAGTGACCCCTCTTCACCCAACACTTGTGGTTGGGACCCCACCCTGTGCGATGCTTTGGATTTCTGTCCGTTCCCTGCTAAGATTCCACACACACTTTCCAAATCCCCAAAACAGGCCAACACCCTACTCGGCGGTGCCAGAAGAAATGCAGTCATCCATCTGCTGCTACTGTAGAGCTCTGGGGTCTAACTCAGAAACTCTGTTGATTCTGCGGCTGTTTGGTGCCAGCAGCAGTGTGGAGTGAATGAGGGAATTCAGTCTGTCTTAGTTGGCCTCGAGGGTGCTCATTTTTTAAAATATTTTGCTAAGTTTTTCCAATACCATTATTTCAGGCACTGCCTACTCTTTTTTTTTTTATTTCATTGACATCAGCAATTTTCCTTTCCTTCTGCTGCAATTACAGCGACAAGTGTAGAGGTGTGTGTCTCTTCCAGATTTGCACATCCAGCCTTTTTTTTTCGGTCCTTCTTTCCAAGCAACTCAAGTTCAGTCACATTAGAAGTTGAGTGTTGAGGTTTAACCTCAAATTCTTGATTTCATTTAGGTCTGGCTGATTTGTTCTCTCTGAGGTGTGAATGTGCTTTGTCTTAAACTATGTAAGCCTGGCTGTTTGTTTAGGGTCATTCCGTCTATTAAGGTTCTCTTGAAACCTTAAGGGTTTTTTTGTTTCTCAAGTATTTCACTGCATGTAGCTCTAACTACCTTACATGTCTTTGTATAATGAAGTGATCCCTATACCATAATACCGCCACCCCCATGTTTTACCATAGGGATTATGTACACTGTTAGCTAGGGGATCTTTCTTCCACATGCTTGTGTGAGCCGTACATTCCACCAGGCACTGCTTGTGTTTTTAAGTTTCGTAAATAAACATTGAATTGGTGAAGGTCGCAGCTAGATGTTGGCCTGTTGAGAAATCTGCCACCCGAGCTTCTCCAGAGTTACCAAAGGCACTTTGGCTGCTTCTCTTATACCGTGCCCTGCCTCTGGGCTTAGATGGAGCATTGTGACATGGTAGGTTTCTGCCATAATCTCCCATTTTAAAGATTGAACATTGCTTTGTAATATCTCATGAGGTTGTACTGTAGCCTAAACCTTTTTTAAACATTCCCTAACTATAACCCTTGCTTTTCTGCTTTGTTTCTTGGTGTTCATAGTTCTACTGTATGTGTTCACTATTTAATTCTAACAAAACTCTAAAGTTTTCACAAAAGAGCTGGATTCAGAAAGGCAGTTTATATTTACTAGTTAAGTGACTGGATTTCATTTAAGGCACATTTTTACAAGGCATTTTGTCTTTTTAATGAAATTCAGTTGTGCAATTTCTTCTTGCTATGCAGTTAATGTTTTTTTTATGGGTGAAAAATGCAGATTTGAAACAGATTATATCCGTTCACAGATGATGATGATAATAATGTGATGACTAAGGCTTCTTGTTGTTAACACAAATGAATGAACAAGTATTTCATTCATGACTCAGAGTGACATAAGAAAGAACAAGTGGTTTGTAACTGACAGCGTGTGACACCAACATCTGTGTGCCATGCAGCACAGAGTGATATGAGAAACACGCATCCCATCACAGACGCACTGTTCATGGCCAAGCGTCATGTCAGAATGACTGAAGCAGAACAAGGCAGATGTTGTGATTCGCAACTAAAGACGATCACATTATTCTCTTCCTTCAAGCTGTACAAAAAAAATTTAATTGTGAAATGTAATGAAAATCTTTAAATGCAAAGTGTCCCTTTGCAATCTGTTGGATCAAAATTTTGCAATTGAACTATAGAAATGTATACCTTTTGATGTCAGGGATGTTTAAAGTGCTATCTGGTATGTGCAGATAGTACTCAGGGCTCACCGATTTAAAAAAAAAAGCATTATTCCCTTCACTTTAATCTGTAGTTTCATTTCAAACCTAAATAATTTTGAATAACATTTTTCAAAATTGTTCTAAACTATTTTATAATTAACCTTGAAGGCATGGTGAGAACCTGAGACAACTGACGTTAAAAACTGCAATATAATTAATATATGTGTAAAAAAATAAACATATAAAACTAAATAATCAGTACAGCCCTAGTGGGTCAGCTGTATCTGAAAAATATATTTCTACACAGCTGTAGATGAATCCAGAAATATCACCAAAGTTAAATATGAATAAAGCCAAAATAAAGAATTATATTTCTTTTTTTCTGTGCTTTCTAGTCTAATGTAAATTGGCTTTGGAGTGTGGGCATTATAAGCTTCTTGCTTCTGCCAATACACCCTTTTTTCAGACTGTTTTAATTTATGTTATATGGACATATACTGTCTTTATTATATACTTGTATGTCTGAAATAAACAAACTTGAAACTTGATATTGAAGAAAAGCTGCAGGAATGGATGTTAAAGTGTCTGTGATAATGATGCTGCTATCAGGATAAGAGAGGTCTGTGATTATTCCAGCAGGGTAAATCCCACACCTTATTCTGCATGGCTGTGATTTCAAACACAAAATGCATATGCTTGACTGGCCTCCCTGCAGCTCACACCTGTTTTCCACCGAAAATGCAATGAAGTTAATTGGGGGGAAACCGACCACAGCAGCTGAGATCTTATCAAGAACAAAAAAGGCGTACTGTTGCAAAAGTGTAACCGATTCAATCCTTAAAGACAGAATGAATTAGAATCCTAATCACAAGGAGGGTTTGCTCATAAAAAATCTAATATGTTTAAACTTCTTCCTCGTTACTGCAAAGTCAGAGACGGAAAATTTCTGTTGGTCATGGGTGTGCTACATATTTGGGGTATAAACCTGCAGGTCTACCTTCCTCCAGTTGTCTCACAGATTTGGGACGCCAAGAAACTAATCTGAGGTCCAAAAATGAATCAGTAAAAGAGATACAAATAAATAACCCTACTGTGTTTATATTCAATAACTGATATGTCAGTAAACACAAACATACTTTCATAAATAAAAATAAATCAGGGAAAATAACTAGATGCTCTTCCTGTTTGACTTAGACCACCAAGAGGAGATATTTAAAAAAAATTATGAGGATGTGCATGACCAGCAGAAATGACAGAACAGGACCCCAGTCTGGTTATCAACTGGAAAACACATCTCAATGCCAATGATAGAAGGTAAGGAGTTCCAGTAATTAGGTGTATTACTCCTCAGTGAATGCAGGGGGGAACCTGGGGATGGATAGACACATTAACACCTCATTGACAGCCATGCTAGTGCAGCTCTAATCAGTTGATGAAGGATAAGCTGGGCCAGATAGAAAGGTTTTCAATTTATAGGCCGAAATTCACAATGGTCACAGGCTATGGTCACTGGCTATGGATAATGCCCAAATAACCAATAGGCATAGGTTTGTTTAACTGGATGGATGGATGGATGGATGGATGGATGGATGGATGGATGGATG